CATCCCATGTATATTTTTTGATGGACCACACCTCAACTCATCCTATAGCCTTTAAAGATAACTGTTAGAAAAATCCTCAATTACCCTCAGTGGACTAGATTAGACATAGCCGAATACATATTTTTTGGCGGTCCCAAACCGGTCTCGGGATGGGTCCTAAGTCGGTCTCGGTCCTCCGCCAGTCCCGGGCCGGACTGGGCCCATTTTGCCATCTCTGGAGTCACTAGACTGAAGTGGTGAGCTGTGGAAGGAGCCCAAAAGCCTAGCCTGGTCCCATGAAATTGGGTCCATCATAAACCAATCCAAGATGCAAAAGACTATTGTCTATTGGATGTTTAAATGAATATAGATTTAGACAAGTCTTGATAAATATTCGTTATTATCTTTTCTTTGTATTCTGTAATCTTTTTGTAAACTTGAGGCCTAATAACACACAATTCCCCGATCTGATAAAGACACAAGCACAAAATGATTATCAAGTTAGGTTCACGAGCAATTGCGAATCGAAAATAGAGAAACATGATCACGTGTGGGAAGGACAGGAAAAAACGAGTCACTAGCATTAGACGTATAATTCTTCACGGTGCCCTGAACATAACAGCAAAAAGAATTCCATTGTGGTCTTGGGAGACTCGAACCAGTGACCTATGGACAGTAGTCCCAACATGGTCCCATGAGATTGGGATTTGGGCCCATTAGAAACCCATTCAAAACTCGAGAAATGTAGCAAAAACACCATCACATGTTGGAAAGACACAATAGAAAGGGTTACTGGTAATAGATTCCGAAATATTCATTGGGCCCTAAAGATAACTTAAAAATCATCATTGGTCCTGAGGTGACTCAAACCAAGGGCATGGTCCCATGAAATTGGCCCATCAGAAATCAATTCAAAATACAAGACACGAGCACAAGAACAGAACGATGATCAAGTTAGGTTCAAAAGCAACTGAGAATCCGAAAGTAGAAAAAACATGATCACATGTAGAAAAGACATAAAAGAACGGGCCACAGGTAATAGATTCTGAAATACTCGAATTACTTGATTTGAAATAAAGATAAAACACCACCAAAACGAGACCGAAGAAGTTGAGCATTCGCCCTTGCAACGCAAAAGACCGGAAATTGAGGTATAACTTTAGCAAACAGGAAGATGCAAAGAAAAAACTATATGATCCATTGAAATCCTGGCAAAAAGTTGACACATACCCAACACAAAAAACAAACCAAAAAGAATGGCAATAAGCATTGACCAAGAGAATCATTTGGCCCACAATTTTAAACTTTCAAGTACTGGTATTTAGGCTAGCTGATAAACCAGTTATTAGAGAATCTCCAACAGATTCTCTAAAATAAACTGAGATTTCACTCTCTATTTTGTTCGAGCAAATTCTCTATATTGTTCTCTAAAATAGAAAAACAAGAGAAAACTCCAAGTTAAGAGAATTCTCTAAACTTCAATGTGAGTAGAGAGAAAAAATTTATTAATTCCCACCAATGAGATTAAATTATCTATTATTTTATACAAAGTTTTTTAAGAAGGATAATGGGAGATACAATAATAAAATATTTTAAAAATATAATTAATGTTGAAATCTCGAAAATAGAGAATCTGTATGAGTTAAATGTTATTTTTTTAAAGATTTGAAGGATGGGGTTTTTGTTTATTTATATAAAAATACAAAGAGGATAATTGGAAAAAAGTGAAGGAAAAAAACTCATGGGAGTGAAGAAGCTTTTCAAGAAGCCAATTTATAAGCTGGTTTTTGGCTTATCAAACAGAGCTTTTTCAATAAGCTAGCTTATAATATGACCATAAGAAGCTAGTTTAGGAAGCTAGTTACTGCTAATCTAAATTCATGTACTTCAGTTCAGGTCAGATTGAGTTGATTTCTATAGGTGGTAGCAAACAATTAAGTACGAAGGGAATCCCTTTTTTGGTTCTAAAAGTAGTTAAGGTGGAAGCAATTTATGAAGGTAAGAAAGAGTACCGAGAAACTAACCAAAAAGGAACGAACCCATACCTCCATGTGCACACTTGCTAAGAGCATAAAAGCTGGGAAGTTGTCGTAAGCAATACCAGAAATGATCTAATTACGGGTATCTTGGAAAGTGGCGAGCGGAGGGAAGAGAGACTGTCCTACATCAATAATCAGATAAGTTTGAACAAGAAACATATATTGTTCTAGAATTTAAAGTAACAAATGAGTCTATGATGTTCTTCCGTTAAATTTATGATATACTACCATCTATGTAATGAGTACATGAGAAGCATAACCAACCGGGTCGTTCCAATCCTTTTAGAGACCTTGTAAAACCTGTGTCAAGACTATAGGTTGACATAACTGGTAATAAATAAAACAAAATATAAAATTTCATACCATATATCGTATTAGAAGTCTTACAAATTAATACAAGAAAAATGTCTTTAAATGACCAAGTAACATATAAATTCACTTGAATAGGATCATTTGTCCAACATTTTTCAAAATCCGGATTTGGGAATCGTCAAATCAACTAAAAGAGTAAAAGCTTAAAATACTATAATTGGGCTAAAACATGTATAATTGGGTTAAAGGTTAAAACATATATATATGGGTAAAAGTTAGAACTTAGAACACATATAACTGGGCCCCAAAAACTTAGGGGGGGCCTGATACATATCTCACATTGGAACACCCTCAAGCACAAACCCTATTTGAACGACACAATCACAAGAAAATTAGAAGCTTGGATTCACACAGCCTATACAAAAAACAAAAGACAAAAGACAATTACCATCTTAAATCAAACTATAGCAAACTTTAGAATCATCTCTCCATCTCATGCATGGTACTGGAGAGGACTGGACTGGACAAGTGAGGGTGAGGTAGACAGATGAAAGAAGTTTGGAAGGTTTTAGGGTTTTAATTTAACATAGGTGGTTTAGTAATTTACCAATCTTGTCCTATCTTCCTTGTTTTTGTTCCACCTATTTTGGTGGGACAGGAAAAAAAAAATGCTTTTTTGTCCAGCCAGATGACCAGTCCTATCGTCTAATGTCGCACCAAATGTGGGATAACAAGTTTTTGTTTTGTTATGTCCTGTCCATCCAGGATACCATATGCACCCTATGTGATTAGGCCCCAGGCTACTGTCTTAAGATAATAGATGATTGGTATAAATATTCTCTCATGGTGAAGAAAAAAACTTAGGTCCTAATTTTTTTCACATTAGTGATTAAACCCATAAGTAACAGCAACAACAATTTTCTTCTTGCTTAAAGTAGAAAAAATGTCATGGAGCAATTGCATTGTACTTCAAATAGAGGTTATCTAGAGGGAGGCATGCAACAAACATTGAAGGAATAAATACTTCAGCTACTTTTATGAATAGCAATTGCATGCTTGCAGGATCACCAAAGGGCAGAAGCGCCAGTAGCAGTGACATGCTAACATCCAACAGGCTTAAAAACAAGGATAAGTTGGAAGTATTGGCAAAAAACTATAACAGGTGGGACAAACACAAATGCAGCAGGCACAGGGGTAGAAGCACCAGATAAAAACGTGTGTTGAAGGTTTGGACAGACTCTAATTAGAGGTGTGACTAACAAACATGTTATAAGTTTGTCTGAATCACCTTAATTAGGCATATGGGCAAGTTGTACTTGCGTAAATGATGCCACTCTTTTATACAATTTAACAGTTCAACAAATGATACTATTCTTTTATACCATTTAACAGTTCAACATTCAGTTCGTCTTAAATGGAAGGGGAATCAAGATGTGATCATGGTCTCATTCACTTGAGGTGATGAATGGAGGCAAGTATGTTTTGCTTCTCTTTTAAGTACTGCTAAAAGCATTATGTTAGACATACTTAGGAGATCTATAAGTCAAGGGTGCTTTCGATATTTTGTTGACAAAACTGCTAAGTCGGTGGAGAGGTTAGGCTAGCAATATATAGAAAGGGAATGGTTAGAAGAAGGGAATCGAATAATATTGCTGTTTCACATCCATAAGGAGTGAAGGGGAAAGGCCAGGCTCGTGAATATCTGGAAGTGTCATTTGTGTGTGAATTTTGGAGTCTAAGCATTCGATTAGTAAGCATTTGCTTTATTACTGACGTAAACTGACTTGCATCACATTAACTTGTTAGACACTCGGACCAGGGGGGGATTAGGCTACATGACATTCTCCCGTTTAAGTAAAGATATGTAATCAGGATCAAGTTTTTTTATACCTAATACTGGAAAAACCTAACAAGTTCCGCTATAACATTCCTGAAAGCATAGTAGACAGGAGGTACTACTGTAAACAATAGTACAATACCCAATAACATTGACATCTCATTGCAGCCTAAAATTTTCATAATCTGAAGAAAGGCATTCACTCATACAAGACAAGCCTTACTCATACAAATTTATTCATCAAGTGTGTAGTCAGTTTCTTTTCAGGGGAATTGCAGGTTCATACGCAAGAGAATGCCATTAAATTTACGCTGTTATGGATATTAAGTGGTTATGATTAAATGGCCTAGAAAGATATGATGTAATAAAGGATGATCAAGTTAAGAGGGTGGGAGGGGGTATTACTACACAAACTTGCTTTAACATGTATGAAAAATAAATGAGGATGTAATCTATTGATACCCCCACTGGGTGATAATTGAAGGCGATAACCGACTTCAATAAATTGCATACAAGTAAAAACATAAAAGAATGCTGGTGCAAATGACCACTTAGATTTAAATTCATCAGGTTGAGTGGTTTTGCTCTCTAGTCCCCAGGATTCAAACCCTCTACCTCTACAAGGTAGAAGTCAGACCAAAATGGCAGTTCCTTTAACGACGAAATATGGTATATTCAATGATGATAAACACTTCTGCAACTTGATTCAGACAGTTAGCATGATAAAGCTCCTGGTTAAGATACCATTGTTGTAGTTCCACTGACAATGAACTATGATTGAATCAGTTATCATAGTAATGACATTGTTTGTCACTCGATTCAAACAATTAGCATGATAAAGCTCATAGTTAGGAGCTCATAAATCAAATAATCAAGATAGAAATATTTGAAGAAAATCTAAAAAAACTGAAGGTCTGAAACCAGCTATCATCATCAACATCAAAAACGCTTAGCACATGTTCATTGAGGAAGATGATCATCAACCTAAAACAACATTCGATTGAACTTAATAGAAATAGCAACTTCCAACAACATAACATATTGATATTACTGTACCAGAACAAGCCGTCCAGTTCCGTTACCTTCACCCCAAATTTCTTCCTGATTTCTCTCCAGATTAACGTCTTTCGGTACAGTAACCACAAGCTCTCCATCACTAAATGCCGCCGTAGCAAGCTCGGGCTGCGTAGACTCCGGAAGCCTAAACCGCCACAAATCTACCTCCAACTCGTTTACATCACCACCACAATCACCAACACCACGTGTCCCTCTCACAACAACTTTCGTCACGCCAGGATAGATCTCAATAGTATGAGCTGCGATGTCGGTTCCGATATCGTCGTCCGTATCAACAATGAATATCAACGAATCAGACGTTTCCTCGATCGAAACGTCGGCGTCGGCGTAAAACGGAAGCTCAAGTACTTTGGCAAAGATGTGCGGAAGTCGCCGGAGCTTCTTTTGACGGCAGATAGTAGCAGCGGCGTTGGACTGTGAACCAAAATCGTACCGGACGGTGATGTTCCGCTTATTTGGCGCAGGATGAACCTTCATAGTTGTTGGAATCAGAGAAAAACAGGAAACCCTAGCTACGGAGACAGATTTTGCGTTACAGATCCCAAAAAATGGATCAGAAGAGAAGATGAGTGATGGTGAGCTATACGTATAGATATGGTGTATGTATATATTGATGAAAGTGAGAGTGGAGGTGGAAATTATGAGTGAAATTCCATGAAATTAGATTGCAGAAGGTAAAACAGTCGACACTACCCTATCAATGACCCCGGTAAAGACGCGTTATTTCTCATTCCAACTGCTTGGGGTCTTCATATTTTACAATATTATTCATAATTGCAAGTGCAATGCTACATTTATTTTACAAGCATGTTTTCGGGTATATATGATACATGATTTTTACACTTGAAACTTTACAGYAATACTGTAAAGAATTTTTTTTTTACATTCACAATATTTTGTTGTGAAGTTTCAAGTGTAAAATCATATCTTACGAAAACAGTTTTGTCTCACATGAACCCAACCCAAATAAGTAATCCGCCAAAGTCAAATCTTTATTATTCACTTCATAAGGAGAATTTGGTTTTTTGGCATGGCTAAAAAGTGAAAGGACTTTGATGGATCAGTTATTTATTAGTTTATTTAAGCGATGAAAAAAACTGGATAACAGTATAATAAATGAAGAAACTTGTACTGGAGTCTCGTTGGTATTATCATATTTGTAAGTCAAACAAATTTCTCAGATTTATTTTTGCCAAATTCAAGTATATGTACAATGGACTCTAAGAGCATCTCCAACAGCTATACTATTTTGAAAAACTTGGAGATATGAGGAAAAAAGTTTGTTGCAACAGCTATGCTAAATTCTCATCTAAAATAGAGAAACGAGAGAGAGAGAACCGAGAAAAATCTGTAAATTTGAAAAAAGAGAGAATGTATGGCATACTGATTGGAGATGCTCTAAGCAAACTGACGTTTTGCACCTTGCGATAGTCGTTTTAAAAATATAACACGTTTTTTAACAGCAAAATTTCTTTCTTCCTGTTCGAAGTTTATTTTCCATGGGTTTTCTGCTTTTGTTAATATTAACTGGGGTTAACGTATTTCTGTATAAACTACAGTTATATATCGAAATTTAAAATCTTCATAGTTCAGTTTAAACTGTCAACCCACATATCAAAGCATGAGATGTTTCTGTATTCATGATCATCAAGGTTGTTCATCAATTTCAGAGACATCTCGTTGTGAAAAAAACAAGAGGTTGATGTTGTACTTCTATTGAAACTTCTACTCATACAAGTGATTTGAGTACTGATAGGCCTTCAAATCATGTTACTGGTGTTCATACGTCAAACGATCATCTGTCTTTTACTATGACGTAAATGTATGCACAGTAAAGAATAAAAAAGGCTCAAAGACAACAGTGTACATCGTCAAGTCATCTTCAATTTCATGAATAGTTCTCTTGTCAAGTCTTTCACGGATTCATAAAGACGTTAAAAGTATAAATTGCCAAAAAAATAAACGATATATACCAAAGACACTGTCCAATATAAAATCTTTCACACGGATGGATTATTAAAATTAATATATAGGAAACATATTACGTAATTACTTGAATGTTTAGAACGAGACAGTGACGAAGATTTTCTAAGTTTACACTTTTGAAGTATATAATATTTATATACGGCAGATAGAATAAATAAACTCACACACTCTCCTCATCTTTGGTGAAGCTTGAACATTTACCCTCCTAGGAGGCCAATGACTCACATATCGCTAGGCCAAAGGCCTACAAGTTTTATCAAACTATAAGCACTTATTATCAAAATCTGACATATTTGATGACCTTATAAAATTTATTAAGAGACTGTTGATTTTAAATTCAGATATTTTAGGGAAAACAGAAAAAGGTTTTGTGTGCAAGTGTTTGTAGGAAAAATGAAATGAAAATAAGTTTTGTTTTATGTAAGAAAAAATCATACTTTCATTTGTTGAAAAGACAAAATCTGATTTTTTTTTTCAACAGAGTTTTTGAAAATATGATGTATTTGCATCCCAGTAGTCCGTGAAGATGGATTCGGCCGTTCGCAAGGACCAATCCAGATTAGGCATCTCCAAAAATCAGTTCAGACGTCTACGTCAGACTTCCCAAATTGGCTCTGCACTATCAAATAGACAAAAAAAAACGGACCTTTTCATAATGTAAGCATCTGGACGTCCATATACATGGACTTGTCACGTCTACAGGTTTTCCTGGCATTATTTTGTGAGTATAAAGAACAGAGGCTGAACACAAATGAACTGGATCAACAATAGTGGAGGAGCCCAAAAGAATTTTATACTTAAAACCTTAATGAACTGAAGATGCTTCACTTTATCGGAAAAAAAAACTTAGGGGTCATGGCTCCTATGGCCATCCGCCCCTGATAAAGAAACATGATTTCTTCGTTAGTCCCATTAAACATTCAACTAAAATTGGGACTTTTTCAATAAGGTCTGATAGTTATTTAATAAACTGGTAATTGCTCGACTTAAAAAACTAAATGCTTTAAAAATAGAATTTAAACTGAACGAAACAAAAATCCCAAATTATAAACCCTTAACTATCAATCATTATCGAACGTTGTATGCATTTGCCAAAAGGGTCATAATTAATGCATTTGAAAGTTGTAAGGTTGTTACAATTCATTACTCTTCAATTGTTAATGTAGTGAGATGAACTGAAAATTTATTTTTTACAGAAAAAATATTTACTACAAAAATATACAAATACTGACATTTTTCTTGTTTGTTTTATCAGTTAAATCTGGTAACTAGATTGAGAATAATCATGTAATTGTTCACATAATGATTTCGCTAAGAAACATAGACGTTTGTGGCTGTTGCATAGCATCAGGATCAGTACCACAGCAGAAGCCGTGGTGGACATTATGGTTCATCTGGTTCTCCTCGAGGGGTTTCAAAAAAAGTTACCAACAAATAAACATTAAACAGTTGAAATATCATACAAGTCAAGCGAAATGATACAAAATTTAGGTATATGCCAAGAGGCCGTTTACCAAACACTTACTTGGTAAGTGCTTACCKGTAAAATTTAACACTATCATTTATTTACCGAATAAGATTTTAGTCCACAAAAACGGTATCGTATGCAACAATTTACCCGGTAAGCGCTTACCATGGTAAGAGTCGTCGTCCTCACTTACCGGATAAGACTCTTGATTCTTGTCTCGCTCTTACCAGGTAAGATTCTTGGTCCTTATCATATTCATCCGGTAACTTAAACATTTAAAAATACATTATCCAAAACAGAAATCAAGTTAAAATACATTTTTGTTCATAGAATTTATCCGATTTAAAAAGGAAAAAACCCAGATAAATAAGTGTAGAATGGACTTGGCATCAATAACCGGTGACTCAATTGTTATTTTGTGAAGTCACAAAATTATTGGTTAGAATAAATGGACCCCACTTTTGTCACTTTTTCTTCCAACTGCTCATAAACAAATAATATAATAATTACAACTTGTTTATCCTCTTTTTTATAATGGTTTTTTTTTTTAATTTATAACTAATTATTATATAATTGAAAATTATAAAAGAATAATATTTAAGGAAAATTAAAGATTTGAGAGCTTTTTTCAAGCTAAAGAAAAAATAAATTAAAATCTATAATTTAATAAAATCTCTAAAAAAAATACCGTTTACTAAACGTTTAATAGGATAATTGTTTACCGGAAAAATTCAACATCATTACTTACTTATCGRGTAAGATTTTAATCCACCAAAATGGTATCAAATGCAACAATTTACCCGGTAAACGCTAACCGTGGTAAGAGTCATTGCTCTCACTTACCGGGTAAGACTCTCGGTACTTGCCTTTGCTCTTACCGTGTAAGATTCTTGGTACTTACCATATTCATCTGGTAAATTAATACTACTTAATAAACGCTTATCCGGGTAAATGTTGATAAACGGTCCATAAATGTCTTATTATTCTTTTTGAAGTTTTCTTTTTAAAACTGTATTCGAATCATAAATTTATAAAATATTTTAATAACAAAATTAACAACGAAATTATTAAAATTGAATAACTGTCAGAGTTGAATGTAATTCCTTTTTGATTTTTTTTGATACTCTGTTTAATAAAAAAAATATAGCATAAATGTTGAAGATATTGTTGATGTTTCGATGAAAGTAGTTATTGATTATAAACTTGATCTTTATGTTTTGATCATTAATACGATCGGATTTTCAAACTCAGTAAAACATAATTTCCATTTCAAGTTTAACATTTTTAGATTCGATACAATAAAAAAAAAACGTTCACACCCTTTTCGTGTGTCGAAGACTAGGAAGACGAATAACCCCGGGTCGGGTTCTTCTCCTACCCGTATCGAATAGAACACGCCGATACGATCCCCCCACWGGGGGCCCACTATGCCAAATACGACCAAYTTTATTAGAAAGTCAAGTACAACTTTATACATTACAGTAACACTAACATAGAAAGATTGCTTCTATTACCGTAATTACTATATAAAAAATGTTTGAGATACCACATCGCATAAGTATGCATCTAACATTGTTAAAAAAATTACATACAAAATAATAATTGGTGCATAACAAGTTAATGACAACCTAATCTATAATAATATACATGTTTATCCAAACCACCAAATAATTAAATGATTTTTTAAACATTATTTTCTTAGATTTAAATACACACAAATTATTAAATAAATTCATTATCATCAATTATAGATAACTTTACATATTTATTTATCAACAATAATTGCAAAATATCCAAAAATCCTATGATTTTTGGTTTAGTTTTGATAATTATTAGTTTAGTTATTTTTTAAACTAATTAAAAAATATATTTGATTAATTATAAATTAACTTTTTAGAAGAAAAAAAAAATATTTTAATTTTTTTTCTTGAAAAGTTTAAAATTTTATTTTAAATAATGCATTAATAAACTCCCATGATATTTGTTTTTATCTTTTTCTATATATCTTAACTATTTTTTCAATATACGATTATATAGTTTTTTGGTTTATCAATTAATAGCTAATAGGAGTCTATGAATCGTTAAGAGGTGAATCTTGTTCAGAAAAAAAAAATCAACCTCTTAATGGTTTTAAAACCATCTGAATAATTTTGTATCTTGGATCTCCCTTAAGCATTCAGCGCCCTAATTTTATTGTAAACAATTACCAAACAATTATATTTCATTTTACACTATATCATGAGAACCTTTTAATCATTTTGTATAAAACCATTCGACAACTGTCAAGCAACATTATCAATCAAGTATCATTGAAAATAAAATGATTAAATTTCCTTTTTATTGAAGTATGTAGCAAATTATAATAAAATAAATCCAAAAATAACATCAATCACCACAACTTTCCTTTTTCTTTTTCTACAGAATCATTACAAGGATATAGTGGAATGGTAAACAAAAATTATTTAATAAAAAAAGTAAAAATAAAACAAAAACCCAACACCCCTACCCCAGTAATCATCCATGATCCACCCTACCTCAATTACTATCATTACAATCCAATCAAAAGCACAAACATAGCAAAATTCCCATCTTGGTCATCAATGCTCAAGACAGACCCTGGTGAGCTTGAAACACTGAATACAAGAAAGGGTAAAATAGTCATTTCAACATAGTGGTTACTATGAGTCCATCAATCCATCCAAAACCATTTCTTGGCATCTGCATTCTTCACTGCAAAAGGCCTTCTCACCCCTGTAAATGCAATTAAACACTACCCTCATCACCATCTCTTTTTATATTCATCTTCAATCTCAATTCCAAAACCATATTATTCACATGTGAATGATTGAATAATTACACCCCTGATTGCTAAAACCATATAATTCACTTGTGAATTGTTGAATAATTACACCCCTAATTGCCACTATTCATCAATCATTTGTTGTTCTATATATATATATATGTATGTACGTATGTGTGTGTGTGTATATATATAATATATATTAAGACTAATTTAATGAAAAAAATAAGCAAATAGATTTTGGTACTCACCTGTACATGAAGATATCACTTCCTTCTCCAAGATTCTTGTTGCAGGCATGACATAAGCTTAAGAAACTCTCACATGGCGATTTCGGACCAGGCTTCTTGAATTCGGGCGACCCGATTACACCACAACAGCTTTCTACAACACAGTTATCATAAATATGGGTGGTTCTCGGGTTTGGCCCATGAGAAATCACTCGGGTATACTCTTCCGAAAGCTCCATCTCACTCAAAGACAAAGGACCCGTGAAAGCTCGAGGCGACCCGAATCCAGTCGGAGTACCCGAAAACTGCGAGTTCCGGGTCTTGATTCCATAATCGCCGGGAGATTCGGGGGATCCAGTTGAAGATAAGGTAGACGATGGGATTTGAATCTTTAGATTTGATGCAAACAGAACCTTACGGCTAATTGTATTGGGTTTATTAATGGTTTCATCGGGTTGTTCTTCAATTAGGGCTAGAGCGATCCCTTCATGATCGAATTTCTCAGATGGGTTTTTGATTTCATGGAAGCTCTTCGTGGGTTTGATTCGGGTTTTGTTGATACCCAATGGGTTATAGTTGAAATTTTTGTGGATATCGAGAATCGAAGTGGGTGAAGGTTCTGAATCGGTTAGGGTTTTGGGGGAGAAGAGGCCATTGAAGAACCTTGGAGAAGGAAGGAAGGATGAAACGGGTCGGGTCGTGGGTGAAGAAAGAGAAGGAGCTTGTTGATCCGCCATGATCGGTTGTTGTTTGATAACAGTTCTGGATCTGTTTCTGAGCATCAAAAAAGAAGAAAAACGATGAAGAATTAATGAAGAGAAAGGAAGGTTTCAGCAGCTTCCATGGCGGTCAAGAGAAACAAGAAGTGATCCGGATTAAAACCCAGGTGTTTGTAACGAAATTAAAGTTGGATTTTCTGTGATTTAATCTGCCCATTTAATCAAGATATTGATTGTTGAAATTAGGGTTTGATGATGGATCTAAAGATGAACACCTGTACTCTGCTTTGAAGATGTCGCCACCATGAACATCATCTTAGAGAGAGATGAAAGAGAAAGCGATAGATAGAGAGAGAGAGGTGTTTTGTTGCGTGAAATGGGGTTTGGAGTTCGAAGGCTTTTTAAAAAGAGAAAGGAAAGAGAGAGAGAGAGAGAAATTAACTTTTTTTTTATGGATTTTTTAATAAAATAAAATTAAAAATTAAACACAAACCCATATAGTCTATTCGGTAGTTGTTGAATGATTTTGTACAAAATGATTAAGTGATTAAAATACTTTCATGATATAATGCAAAATGAAATATAATTGTTTGATAATTGTTTACAATAAAATTAGGGCGCTAAACTGTTAAGAGAAGCTTATGATATAAAATCATTCAGATGGTTTTAAAACTATTAAGAGATAAATTTTTTTTGTCAAACAAGATTTACCTCTTAATGGAACTATTAAGAAGTAACCAAACAACCCCTTCAATTGGTGTTATAAATTTCATAAATCAATTTATATATGGAAAATTAATAAAAATAGTCGTTTTCAGAGATCAAATTTGTCTCTTAATTATTATTTTTCGGGATTTTTAAAAATATCATTATGTTCGCAAGTGGTCTTCACTTTTAACATCTGCAAGTGACAGAGTTGTCACTTGATTGTTTTTTAAGGTCATCAAGTCACAGAGGTGTCACTTGCGAATCTGAGTAAAAGTAATTTATTTTGTTTTTTAGCTACATCTGTAAATCAGGGAGGTGTCACTTGCAAAAGTAGTGATATTTTTGAAAAGGGGCATGGGATCAGCAGCTTCAATCAGATCTTTTATCCTGGTCGAAGCAACCAAAAACTCTGCCCTCCCTCTCTATTTATCTAAGGGACGGAAAAGCGAGAAAAGCAACCAAGAGACGAATTTGGTCCCTGAAAATGACTATGTCTATTAATTACCCCTTTATATGTATATAAAACATACAGTATTTTTAGTCCAAAAGGAAAACATACGTTATTTATGCAACGTTGATTTGTACATTAAAACACATGAGAATACATTTCTTATAACACATTTATACATACAGACCAAAACATGAAACAAATCAATAATACAAACCAAAACCTAAAATTGAATTGTTTGGTTTTGCTTTTTACAATTTTATTATCAAGCATGGCAACGGAGTAGGGATGGAGCGGGTTTTGTAATCCTTGGCGTGGTTTGTAGTAACATCCTCCGGTCCCGGCCCTAGTCCCCGACGGGTACAGGGTTTAACATCCCTTCCCCAGTCAATATCAATCCCCGGTCAAACCCCATTAAGAATACCCGTTAGTTTGATTCTACCGGTGTTCCCCGACCCAACCCCGTTCCTGGTTTGAGTCTACCGGGGATCCCCAACCCTGGGACCCGTTTTAGCGGGGAATCCCCGTCCCCGTTCGGGTCGGGTGAATCAGGTTTCCCAACCGGTTGTGGCAAATCACCATCCCTATTTATTATGTTTATATTTAATTATTAGTCGATATTAATATATCATTAAGTATAGAAAAGGTATAAAAAAGCCGAACCCAAACCGAGTCAAAAAGCCCATCAAGCCGAGACTATTTATTTTCTTAAATTCAATGTTCAAAATTCCAAAAACGTTCAATCGAACCTATTTTCACACCTAAGCATGACCCACGTTCTTTTTGTTACTAAAACATATTTGAAAGACTCTCGTTTAGACATCTTGATATTTAATCATTAAAAAGTATTTTATAAAGCAAATAATATATTTTATAAAGCAAATATATAAGTATTATATATTTTTACAAGTGAAAACTCCAAAAAAAAAAAAAAAAAAAAAAAAAAAAAAAAAAACCAACAAATTCTGTTATTTTAAACGGTTTAGTCATTAAACTATTTTTTAATAAAAAAATTATTAAACTTTCTTATTTTAAATAATTAAATTAATGAACTATTTTTTTAAACGAAAAAAATCATGAAACTTTAACATTTTGAATGATTAAGACCCCGAATTTAAAAAAAAATATCAAACTTTTACTAATAGGTTAATGTACCTTTTTTAGGTTAAAAGAATGTATGAACCCATTTTTAAAAATATGACGGTTTATTTATTAAAAAAATATTCATGAACTTAATCAATCAAAATGAGAAAGTCTAATGATTTTTTCATTAAAAAAAATAGTTCAAGTAATTAATCATTTAAAGTGAAAAAATTTAATGGTTTTCTCATTCAGAAAAAATAGTTCAAAAATTTAATCATTCAAAATGAGATAATTTGTTGGGTTTTTTGAATTTTTTAGTTAAGATTTAAAATTTATACTACCAAAATTGTGCAAAATTTATAACGTACAAAATAGTTTTATGTGTTGTGTTTATTGTTTAACCATGTAAACTTGAATTTAATGCTTTTTAGATTTTGATTTAACAAACTTTTTAACGTCTTCAATCTAATCGATACAACTCAATCTCAACCAATTTGACAAGGGTTGGATTATAAATTTAAAAAAAACTTCGAATTTGCTGATATTTTTTAGGTCAGATTAGTCGAGTTGTTTTGTCTAAGGCCCTCAGCCGTGTCATTAGACCATGTGCATCAGAGGTTTTCGATCTTAATTTTGTACATAATGACCAATCAATGTGCACAAATTGTCGGTCCTAGTTTGTTTAATGCCCAAATCAACTAATCTTCTTAAGTCGCCACATTAGTCCAAGAATTCGATTTTGTACAACCATTTTTAGTTTCGTTCTTCGTTTTTGAAAAAAAAAATCATACCGATTAGTCTTTTGTGCCTGACTAGGTCTTGGTCTAAGTGGAGGTGGCAACGAGCCAGGACCCCAAACCCCATCCTCTCCTCCATATATATCCAGGAACATACAACATATCCATCAGAAATCTCATCCCCAAGGAGGAATCACTGATTTTTCCCCTTTTACGGTACAACGTCCCATCAGACACCTTATCAAGGATGTTACGGGAAATGCTAAAAGATCAGTGTTTTGAATACATATGGATCAAAGTGTTACAAATGTACACATCTTGTGCGTCACCAGACTTGATTACATGTCCATGAATGTGCATCCAAATCGACACTTTTAACTACCAAAACATTGAGTAAAAGCTTAGAAGTGTACCTATCTGGGTCCACGTAATCATCCCACACGTTCACGAGTTGAGTGAATGACCTCTCAAGGGTAGAGTTATATGCGTAGGCTTGTATCAATGTATTATAAGAATACAAATTTGGTTTACGTGTGTATATTAAAATGGAACGAGGGTAAAAGATGTAAGAGGAAATGAGAAGATCGACATATAACCAGTGTTGAATAAGACTGGTTTTGAGCATGTGAACACGCAATTAGCAGAGTCGGAGATGGAAGTAACCATCTCTATGAATGAAAGTTGATGACATTTTTTGTCAGTAGTAAATGAGTGAAATTTCAAAAGCAATATAAAAACTACCAGGAGGTCTCAGGTTCAAATCCAATGAGGAATAAAAATCCCTTTGTGGCCACAGAGGTTCAAATGCGGTGACTCCGGGCTATCTGCAAAGTAGGTGGTCTCCCTGAGATTAGTCAGCTCGCATAACGGGTTGAATATCCAGGTTAATAAAAAAAAAAGTGATGGTTAAAAGTTCACATCAAAAAATATCACTTAAGTTTGGAATGTACTTCGTTTTTTGTAACCGGAAATATTTGGATCTACTTGTTGGCACCTTGACTAACTCCATTAAGCATGAAAGAAACCGCAAACCTTCTAAATGTTACAAACTCGCAAGCCAATATATATGAAAAGGCCAAATTGCATGAAAAGTAACGTATTTTAACTTGATTTCTATTTTGGATAACATACTTTTAAAACTTCTATTTTGATATCTAAGATGTAAAATTTTAAACATTTAAATACCCGGATAACCAGTTGAAATTAATTTTAGATTAATGAATTATTTTATTCATATAAAAATGTTTAGTCTATTTCCATTAATTACATATAGACCAAGACCATGACATATTGCCAAATGCCACTAAAATAATCGTATGGAATCTTTTTCATTTATTTCTTAAAAAAAGTTCTGGTTGTAACAAACAGTACTACATATATGATTTCTATACACGATTATTATACACAGTTTTTAAAGAAACTGTGTATAGAAGATCGTTATGTGTTATTTTTGACTTTTTTTTACATGGTTAGAATGGAACCATTGCTAAAATTAAGGTTTTATAAAAAAAAAACTAAATGTTTGTTTTAACAAAAAATGGCTTTATTTATAGGTAAAAAATAATTTTGTAATAAAATAAATAAAATTTAATAATTAATAAAAATGATGAGAGTTTATTTATTATGACTTGAATATTTATGCAAAATGACTATGGTTCATTAAATACGATCAATGCTTTATATTAGAGAATAATCAAAACTTTTATGAAATCAMATATTCATCAAATTAAATGAACAATTGAGATTGAATTGTATTGGTTGTACAAATGTAAAAGGTTGCATTATAACTCACCCTTCTCTTTCTCTCTCTCTATATATATAACTTTAGGAATTGATCATTAAAATGTCGTCATTACTATTAAAGAACATTGAAATTGAAAGCTATCAAGACATGATGTAACATAACTTTGACTAACAACAATGACCTAAATGAGGAAAAGCAGTCTAATTGTTCATCTTTTTAACATAAAATATAAGAGTAATTCCTGTTATATATACATATGTATGTATGTACATATATAGAATTGACATGATGTGAGACGAACTTTTTTTCTGAGACCCATGAAACCATTTTTTACATTTGAAATTATATATATATATATATATATATATATATATGTGTGTGTGTGTATAGAGAAGCAATCAAATGCAAACGCCTTTATTTTTACAAATTGTGCAAACCACCCTTTTTCGTCAATTTCATTGTTTAATTTTATGAAAATTTTTCATGAAATTGTTTAATCTTATGAAAGTGTTTCATATAATATTTTTTTATGAAGTTGTTTCATATATGGTTATAAAATTGTTTCATATAATATTTTTGAAATTTTAATGAAACTGTTTTATGTATTTCTCTAAAATTAATATATGAAAGTGATAATATCCATGATTAACACCCTCCACAATACAATGATTAATCAACCTCTCATAATTACAAAAAAAATGAACAAAATAGAAAATTATGATTGGTTGAATGAGGTTTGTACGGTTTGTATAAATAACGTAGTTTGCAAAGTAAACCTTCTCTGTTTGTATGTATGTATGATGGGTTGGGTTCACGTGAGACCAGTCTGTTTTTGTGAGACCCGTGAGATCACCTTTTTACACTTGAAACTTCACAGCAAAACGCTGGTGAAGATAAAAAAAAAGTCGAACCTTCACAGTAAAAACACTGTGAATGTTACTTTCACAGCATTTTGTTATGAAGTTTCAAGTGTAAAAAAAAATAGTCTCACGGATCTCACCAAAACAGGTCAGTCTCACATGATCCCAAGTCTATATCCCTTGTTCTGTTCTATGATCTTCAGCTTGGAGTTGGTCAACATGATCCACTCTCGGCTCTCAGAAACTTTTCTCACCAACTTCACTTTCAGTAACCACAACTCACAACCTTAGTATTTGTTTCACGCCTTTACTCACCACCTCTCCCATTCGCTTCCACACTTAACAACCCCTAACCATTACCAGCCCCACCCTTCTTTCTAGTTTCAGTAACGGATCCATAAACTTTTATAGTTGGGGGCACATTTAGAGATGTAAAAAGAAAAAAAATTCAAAACCAAATGATTCATCTGCATGAAAACGATTTTAGGTTTCCTTTACGGCTTAAACGGTTCAGTTAACTGAATAAACATAACTTATTCATATCGATTTTCAGTTGACTTTTTACTAATTCATCGAAGTGTATAATTTTTATATTTTATATTTCGAACGAAAATATCAATGTGTGTTGCAAATGGACCAATTAACAATCATGATATCAAGTTGGGGGCCCTTGTCTTGTTCTTGTTGGGCGCACAATAGAAAAATTTACTAAACAAATCTTTTTATAACATTTTTTTAAAAAAAAATTTGGTGGGTTTGTTGGGGGCCTAAGACCCCTACCACCATACACTAAATCCGCCCCTGTCTAGGTACTCAGTCATCAACTATATCTTTTGTTTTATCTGCTTTAATTTTTTTTACTGATTTTCTGCTAATTCTTCTACACAATACATTTTATCTTTTTGTAAGATACACGTGGATTTGGTTTTTCTTCGTCATTCCTCATGTCTTCCGAGCATTAGCAGTACATCGGAAATACTCGTCCTCACTTCTCGACGTTCTAAAAAACAAACCAAACGTTCCTAAACGTTATCCAAAGCTCATTCAACACATTTTTGGGCCCAATAAAGCCCGATAGATCTAAATCAATCATTGTTTCTGAAAAACGAAACTAACCCTAACCAATGAAGTCCGATGGATCTAAGTCATTTTCATTTTCATTCCTCATAATGAACCAAACAACCCGTTAAACACATGATTTCTAAGATATTATTTATTTAAAATATAAACTTAAATTAGACACCCATCAATGCAAATTCTTGATCAAACACACAAATTTAAAGCTACAAAAAGAAAAACGAAGTTGAAATATAATGATAGATTTATTATGGTTCCTTCGGAATCAGATGTTCTTGGCAGAGTTTGTGATCCATTTCCTGCAAAATCCAAAATTTTAATCAGATGTCAACTTTTATTTATATCAATATTAAGTTAAATTATATATTAAAATGTAAAAAAATAAGTTTTGATGTTAATATGTACAAGTAAGGGGCTGTTTACCAAACATTTACCTGGGTAAGTGCTTACCAAGTCATGTTACCGTACCGGATGAATATGATAAGGACTAAAAATCTTACCCGGTAAGTGCGAGACAAGGACCATGAATCTTACTCGGTAAGTGAGGGCGACGATTCTTACCACGCTAAGCATTTACCGGGTAAATTGTTGCATAGGATGTCGTTTTGGTGGACTAAAATCTAACCCGGTACGTAAATAATAGTGTTAAATATTACCGGTAAGTGTTTGGTAAACGGCCCCTAAAAAATTAATAGGTAGGAGTATATTTAGCAATATATAAGATGCATTTAGCCTACCCGTTTTAATTAATTAAAACATTTAATTAATAATTAAATATTAAAAACGGTAATGCTTTATACACTTTTATTTGGGGTGGATTAACTGCACCCTTATATATTGTTAAATGCACTTCTACCTGCTAATTTTCTCCTCGCACACATCAACAACAAATCTCACTTTTTTGCATATCTAATGTATAACTTGAACTGATCTTCACATTAAAGGGGGATGAATATAGTGATCTTCTTCTGTTTATGTCATAATCAAGTTAAATTGTGCACTGAAAATGTAAAAATAAGTCTTGATGGTGATGTGTATGAAAAAAGAGTCGGTAGGTAAAGTGCATTTAACCTACTACACTAAAAAAATGAGAGTAAATTTAATCCCTTGATGGTTTCATCATGGCTCTAAAATATATGGTCTTTAACCACAATGGTGGTGTCTGATTGGTTTGAGCTTGACTACAAAGGTCAAAAGTACCAGGAGGTCTCATGTTCAAATCCAAGAAGAAATAAAAATCTCCTTGTGGCCATGGAGGTTCAAATGCGGTGACTCCGAGCTAGCTGCAAAGCAGGTAGTTGCCCTGGGATTAGTCAGCTCGCATAGCGGGTTGGATATCCAGGTTAATTAAAAAAATATCTGGTCTTTTTGGCCTCGATTTGTAGATGAGAGTATGAGACTAAGGAACCGTTTACCAAAACCTTAACGATTAAGTGTTTACTGGTAAGAGTCGCCGTCTCATTTACGTTATTGGTAATATTAATTGATGATACAATTATATTCAAATTAACGAGGATCGCGTTAAAATAGACATGAAACATGCATATTTAAGTGATATAATCCGATTAATCTCCCGAATTATCAAAACATACCATCACAACGGCTAATCGGAGGCGTTTGAATGTGACAAGCATCTGGTAGTCCCAGAGCTAGAGTTTCATTGATTTTGAAACTCGTGCCCGAGCCATGATTATTGATCAATGTACAAAGGCACCGCGATTGTGACCTAACCACATTCGCTAGTTGCGAGCAACAAGAATACGTTGGGGTCGATGAATTCCCACCCACATAGCCAAGACACGGGCTCAGGCTCATGATTGCACTTCTGCACTCTGATTGAGCAATGACTCCACCACGTAACGTAATCAGGACCAGGACCAGACCAACCACTTCGAACCTATTTGGAACCATTTCTCAAAACTTTAGTACGCTAACTTAACGGGAACACTTTATGGTTTTTTTCCCCGACCGATAGAACGGTAAAACGAGGGGTGAATTTATAAGAAAATTTGGTAGCCTAATTTTTCCCAAGGAGGGAGGTTGTTTTTAGGTGTATTTTATGGAATACGACAACCCCTTTTTTCATTAATATTGCTTTTTAAAAATCGCTTTCGTTTTTCCTCTAAGACTATATTTTTTTAACGTTACCGAAAGTTACAATATTTGTTACTTCATGAAAAGCCGACACATATAATCTTTCGCTTAAATTTTTTATGCATACATACATATCAGTTCTGTATCTGTGAAATGCAACATAATGTAAATTTCGAGTTAGAGATAAGCCAAGAGTATGGTCGAGAGATATAAGTGATTGTGGGTCCCCAACAGGGTTTTATGAAGCTTTAAAAGTTGTACATATGCATTAATAAGCAGTACGTGATGCTTAATATACTGATATTATGGGTTGGTTTACAGGGTTCATGTATGTGTTTTAGTTTGTTCTTGTGATTGCCATAAGGTTTATTTTGCTAGAGACTGACGTCTTTGAATTGATAACGAGAACATATACTACAAATCACACAATCTCATCACATCAAAATAACAAATCACTCGCTCTTGTGGTACATAATCACACCCTCGAACATCAAGAAGAAATCAAGCTTCTTTAGAATTTGGAAAAACAAAGAATGACAGTAAAATTCAAAAACTAGCAGTAGTGGAAGCCCACGAGACCACAAACAAAATGAACGCCAATAAATGAACAGGCGCTCTTGATTTGCTTCCGTTAAATGTGGAGCCATCTGTCTTTGACCCTGATCCTGCAATCATTAATTTGTTTCCTTATTAATATAAACGCTAATTAAGTTCCAACTTTTTTAGATTTGAGAGTTTACCTTTTCTTTAAACTGTCCTTTAAGACATCTTATTTACATCTCAACCAATCTCATGAAATCTGACGATAACTAACAGTATAGTCCTAGTGCCTTGTTTTGACCCCATGAATTAAAAAAAAAAGGATTGTAAATTTGACTTGAGATCACGTGAGACCAACTTGTTTTCGTGGGACCCGTGAGACCACTTTTTTATACTTGAAACTTCACAGTAAAACGATGTGAAAGTAAACTTTACAGTGTTTTTGCTGTGAATGTTTGACTTTTTTTACCTTCACAACATTTTGTTGTAAAGTTTTAAGTGTAAAAAAGTGATCTCACATGTCTCAGGAAAACATGTTAGTTTCACGGAACCTAACCCTTATAAATTTATTTTATTTTATATATAAATGTCTTGTTTTGACCCCATAGATTATAAATTCTATTTTCATATTACACATTATAATTTTATTTTTTGTATGTAAATGTCTTGTTTTCTCATTTCTATACTATTTTATTATATTTGTTATAATTAATATTTATGTCGATTAAATTCCGCTACTCGTCACCAAAATTCCTAAATCTGCCACTACCACGAACCTACTTAAGGAGACTCAAACCGACAATATATGGAAAGGAGCCCCGAAGCTAGTCTTTATTTGTCAACCATATTTTAGAAAATACCTGATGGAGTATCCGATTCCGACGGACTTTCGGGCAAGATATCTGGTTCTGATGTAGACCCTTCAGGAGAAGCAACCGGGCTAGGCGTAGAAGTTGCAGATGGTGCGTTTGCAGCTGCATACATGAAACCCGATAAACCAATTTAACAAAGAAATACGTTGAGAAATTTGAAACCTGATAAGCCCACATTCCCAAAAGGTTAAGGGTTCATACCTCATGGAAGGTGAGTAGCGTGCATAAGTATTTGCCATATATATAGAGAGAGTGTGAGGTTCAAACGAAAACAGTAACTAAATAAGAAAATAAGTAAACGGCCGAATCACATGTGATTTTACACTATAATTGTTCGTCCGTTAGTGTAAAACCACATGTGAATTTGCACTTGATTCGGCTGTTTTTATATTCTCTTATTTTGTTACCGTTCTCGTTTGAACCCCTTCTATATATATAGAGAGAAGGGGGGGGGGGGGGGGGGTTCAAGGGAAAACCCAAAAAAAAAAAAAAAGTAACACTTTGGTTACTGTTCATCTAGACAGTACAAGTAATTGAAGTTGTTTTTTGGTTTTTATGCACGTGTGCATACCGTCTGGATGAACGGCTGCAAATATGTTCCTCAATTTTTCATTTTTATGGTTTTCTCCTAAACCTGACCTTATATATATGCATGTCAAAAAGAGAAGAATCTAACCGTTGCACTGGCTGACGGGTGGAGTTTGCACATTACAAGCACCAGGAAGCGTTAAAGCCAGTGTACGGTTAATACTGATTCCGAGAGAGATACCGGACCCGCTCAGCGCTTGACAAAGACACTGCGGCTGAGACCGAACCATGTTCGCGAGCTGCGAGCAACACGAAGACGCAGGGGTGGATGAGTTTCCAGTAATAAAGTTGAGGCAGGAAGACATGCCCATAAGGGCACTGGTGCACCGTGATTGAGCCATGGCTCCACCACATATTGAGACCACAAGGACCATGGCTAGAACCATCCCAATCATTTTGCAAGCCATCTTGTTGACTCTTTTCTTTCTTTATTCCAATAAACACAAAATTGTTTTTGGGACCTTTTTAGTACAGAAATGTTAGAAATATGGAAGCTCAATATGAGAATAATGGGCATGGAATTGGAGCTTATTAATACTTCCATGTATGAAAAAAGGACAATTTTTATTGGTCTGTATGGTTGACCAACTCTGGAACAATGATAATTTTTTTTAGATTAAGTTACAATTTTCATCCTTCTGGTTTGTTCATAATTTCGAGTTTCGTCTATGTGGTTTAGAAATTTCCATTTTTATCATAATGGTTTGTAATTTATTGTTTTTTCGCCCTGAACTAATTTCTACATAAGGGACCAAAACAGTAAAAAGCTGTAAACCATAAAGACCGAATAACAATAAATTGTAAAAGTAATAACAAAAATAACAATGAATTACAAAACGAACTCAATTTATAAACCACATGGACAAGAATCCTAGTTTTTAGCAAATCACTGCGACAAAAAAATTAATTTACTCATTTTTTTATTTAGAGTAAATTACATTTTTTGTCCCTATGGTTTGTTAAAAATTAGGGATTTCATTCCTATAATTTCRAATTTGCAATTTTTGTTTCTATGATTTGTAATTCAATTCTATTTTTGTTCTTGAGTCTAATTTTTACTTTTTAAGCATGGGGGACTAAAATATGTGAATTGTAAACCATAGAGATGAAAACAACAATTAAGTTTAAATCACAATGACAAAAACAACAATAAATTATAAATCATGGAGATGGAAATTGTAATTTCAAAATCATATGAACGAAAATAGAAATTTTCAACAAACTAAAGGGACGAAAAATGTAATTTACTCTTTTATTATTAAAAACCATTTAAAATTAATATGAAATTAATGCTCTGCTCTAAGTTTATACATTACAGCAGGTTAATATGATAACGACAGAGAAAATAGGAATGAAAAAAATGGGATAAAACTATAACAATATGAATGTTAAATTAAAGAAAATAAATATCCCTTTTTTATATAATTTATTTGACTTTAATTTTGGTTATATATCTTCTATTTTCGATTAAATAAAGGGGGGGGGGGTCTTTCTTGTTTTAAAAAAGATAGTTGTAATCACATCCGTTGGATCTTATGATCTGAATGTTGAGATTTATTCTCACATTTTCAACCTCTTTGTCATTCTCACTAGTGATTATGAAACCCCTTTGTATCCTTACGGAGAGAATAAAAGTTTCTACTACATATATATACAGTTTTGATGGTCACTTTCCAGGTGATACTCAAAACAAGTTCTTAGCACTAATGGTACTAACTAATGAAAGTTGTACCTAATTTGATTACAACTCCTAGCATATTTTGGTTAAAACAGATGAACCAATAATCACCTAGTAGGTCAAGGTGGTTGAACTCCAAGAACACAAGAAATGATCAACCTAAAGAATTTCCCTCCAATATTTTGGTAACCTAACTAATAGAAGTTCCAAAAACCCATCCTACGGTTACGAATGAGTCATGCCCAACTTTTGTTAGAAATTTTAGTCTAAAGATTAGGGTGTTCCAAGATGGTATAAGAGCTGGAAAGTGTGTCAGCAGCGTCCCCAGGGATGGATTGTAAGATCCCACATCGGCTAGGGATGGAAACAAATGTGGCCTTCTATGGGACCGGATACCTTCTCTACCAGATGCGTTTAAAACGGCGAGTCCGGATGTGGACAAAGGGACTATATCTGGTACAGTTAGCCTGAGATGTTACTATCGTCTTTTTGGAAATCGACATTTCTACAGTTTTATTGGCTGTACTACTAACTGTTACAGTTATGACAGTTAAAAGCTAGATACGACTATATGCACTATGTCAATGATCATGGGCTTTACTCCGTGTGTAAATTATATAATGGGAAGTAATGCAAATGGGCGATCACCAACTGCAAGCAGTTGTGATGCATTAGAATCGTTAATAACTACAAGTATGGATAGCACTTGCCTTCTAGTTACAGGAAATGTACCTTTTTCGCTACTGAATCCAATCAACCAAGCGTTAGCCATTTTGCTCCCCCAAGCCTGTAATTCTAAGGGCGTACCTTTACGATGCAAAGGTGAAAACTTTAATGAATCTTTAACGCTTTCTTTCCATTTCGAATTGAGGGTTGGACTAACCTTGTTTTTTCGTAATGCAACTTCTGTTTTTTTTTGGAAGGGTGTCCCACATGCCTGAACTAATCCCGACAAATTCTGACTGCAAAAAATCAGTTTTGATAAACTCGGTGGCCACAATTGTTGTGTACGCCTGGAATCGAACCCTGGGCAGATAGATATTCCACCACATCCCTCAGGACCTCAACCACTATGTCACAACCCTTGTGGTTTTCTGGTGTGTGTTTACCGCATCCAGGTACTTTTCAACTGTAATAACAGTAAAAGATTCATAGTCAGTTATCCTCTTTAAACCCTCCCAAATAAGCATGCAGTGTTAGGTGATTTTAATGGCATCAATTATTTTGGTGCAATTGAGATTCACAGTAGATCGAAGGGATTTGAATTAAACTATAATAGAGTTAGCTGGTGTGGAAAGAAGGGGGAACTGATCAATATGTGCCTTCAGTGACACTGATTAGAGAATGATGACACTGAAACTGAACAAGTGAGGGACCATTTACCAAACACTTACTCGGTAAGTGATTATGGGTATGAGTCACTACGCTTACTTATCTTATCGAATAACATTCTTGGCCATCAAAATGAATTGTTGGTAAGCGTCTCCTAACCGGTAAGCACTAACCGGGTAAGTGTCTTTTCCCTCATTTACCGGGAAAGATACTCGATCCTTGCTATGACTCTTACCGGATAAGATTCTTGATCCTTGCCATGCTAACCCAGTAAGTGCTTGCCGGTAAGCGTTTGGTAAACTACCTCTCCATGCTCTCCATACTATTTAAGGATGTTCTATAGCACTACTTGTACATAAAAACATATTTCAAGCTTAAGTTCAGATTCAACTCAATGAAGGGTAAAAATGTCATTTCACTCAGCAAGATCACTACCATTCTTGGCCTCACTACTGCTACTACTAGTGGCAGGCTCTGGTAGGATTTCTATATATTGGGGTGAAAATGGGAATGAAGGAACTTCAGCTGAGACTTGTGCCACTGGAAACTATGAATATGTAAACATAGCCTTTCTTTGGACATTTGGTAATGGGAGGACACCAAGAATAAGGTCCCATCTGAACTACAAAACATTCTTCACCATCACACTCCAAAAACATTGCATTTTCATGAAAAACCTTCGGTTCCACCCCGACTATCCTTTTCTCAATGTCTTCCACATCTATACCTATGCAGATTCCTGAAAGAAGCCCTTTGGCTGGCCATTATGATCTGTATAGCAACGGTTGCATTGGATTAAGCTCCGAGTTAAGTCGATCTATCTATCGGAGGMGGGGATAGGTAGTTATTCCACTGCATCAGAAGAAGATGCTCAAGAAGTAGCTTCCTACCTTTGGATAACTTTCTAGGCGGAAAAACTTCAGGTATCCGTCCACTTGGCAATGCTTCATTGGACAGAATTGACTTTGATATTGAATCAGGAGGAAGTGAACAATGTTATGGTCTAAATCCTATGATGATCAAACTGGCTATAGTGCTTCCATCAAGAAGGATGTTTAAAGATCTGATACAGAAGTTGTTTAATGTTGGTTATTAATATTTCAGAATATTTTCCTACGCTTTTGTATAATTTTACTTGATGTTTTATATTGCATCATATCTATGAATGATAACCTCATCAAAATGAAGAAATCAATAAAGACCATGGTGGAAGTTATTGGTATCCCATAACTTGAGGCTTATAAGGAGCTCATTAATCCCATTTTCTATCTATGTGAGAGGAGTTGTTACATAACCAATCCCAATGCAAAGTAATCATATTCTAAATAATAGCATCATATCTATAAAACCCAACTTCAAAATTCCCTGTGAATTGTAAGTTCTATGGATATAAGGTTTAGATGAAACTGTCGAATGTATAACACTTTATCAAGCATAAAAGTGTCGTTTATTATCACTATACTCATACCATGAATTGGTATGATTGTGTCGTTTGGCAATTTGATTGTTGATCCTTCAAGGTGTGTTTGGTATGCAAACGGTGGAGAGTGAGGTAGGCGAGTGAAAGATTTATGAAAGGTTTTAGGCTTTTAATTTGACATGGGTAGTTTAGTAATTTACCAAATTTGTCCAGTCCCGCTCACATCCTCTCCTGTACCAGTCTACTGTCGCACCAAACATTGGACAATAAGTTTTTGGGGGTTCTAAATGCAAAAATTTTGTTCAATGGTTTCTAATTCTTAAAACTTCATATAAACACGAAGTAGCAGTCATATTGTCAAGAACCGATTTTTAAATAAATCCAAAATAAACTGCATTTAGCACATAGTATTATCTATTATCTAGTCCAAATTTACATGAGAGATATGTGAACTTCATATTGAACAATGTACAATTCTGAAGAGCAGCTTATTTGGAATTAACTCATAAGAACATAGACCAAAAATAATAGCACAAGGACAAATTTCACCACATAATTGGCTTTATAGGACATCTAGATTGTCTAAGCGTCCTAATAAAATACTTTATAAAACTTAGATTTATTGGATCAAACCATAAAGCGTCCTATCTAAAAGCGTCGCAATAGGTTTATAAGACGCTTATAGATGTTTTAACAAGTTTTTTAGGACGTTTCTAAAATAAAGTGTCCTATTAGCTATTTTATATGACACTTTTGAGAAATATTCTATAAACCCGTCTTTTCATATGACACTTTTTCAAATAATGTCGTATAAAATAGTTAATTCGATACTTTAATTTAAAAGTGTCCTAACTTTTTTGTTAAAACGCCTATAAGCGTTCTATAAACCTATTGTAACACTAGATAAGACGCTTTTTGGTTTGGTCCTATAAACTTAAGTCCTATAAAGTATACTTTTAGGACACTTCTACATTTTATACGTCCTATAAAATCAATTTCGTTCTAGTGTTTGTTTGGTTGTAAATTTTTTCTTAGTAAAGGATAACAAAGAAAGGACGAAACAGATGACAAACCTTGTATAAAATATGTTCTTCGATTTAAACCGATCCTTTGATAGCCGAAAGAGTATTCAACAGCGTGACCTCTAAGCCGTACCTCTCGAGAGCCTGAAAGCGAAAGCATCCGTGTAGAATCAACCTCTTACTATATAAAGGAAACTTCTCACCCACTTCAAAACACCAAATATATCTAAAGTCCATTAACACAACTACGCTACAACTAAAAAAATGACATCCCGATTAGCATTATTCTCCGCAATAGTGCTCTTACTAACGGTGGGTATCAATGCTGGCGGCATTGCTATTTACTGGGGTCAAAATGGCGGTGAGGGCACATTGGCGGAGACATGCTCAAGTGGGAACTATGATTATGTGAACCTAGCGTTTCTTTCAACATTTGGTAACGGCCAAACGCCCATGATCAATCTTGCTGGTCATTGTGATCCGTACAGCAGCGGGTGCACCAATTTAACATCGGATATCGAATCATGTCAAGCTAAAGGAATCAAGGTGATGCTCACAATTGGAGGAGCAGCTGGGAGCTATTACCTCACTTCTGCTGCAGATGCTGAACAAGTTGCCAATTACCTATGGAATAACTTCTTAGGTGGGAAATCAACCACTCGTCCTCTTGGCGACGCTGTGTTGGATGGAATTGACTTTGATATCGAAGGAGGAACTACACAACATTGGGATGATCTTGCCAGGTACCTTTTATTAAGTATATAATATTTATATCCGGCAATTAGTACCCACACTGTCGTGAGGTTTGAACCCTTGACCTCTTGGGAGGCTAGGCTCTACTGATAATCCAGCCAAAGACCCTTTGGTGATCTTGCCATATGTCATTCTTCTGAAGTATATAATATTTATATATAACAAATACTCGCACACACTCCTCACCTTTGGTGAAATTTGAACTCTTGACCTCCTGGGAAGGTTTGCTCCGTTGGCAATTCAGATACCGCTAGGCCAATGAACTTTGGTGATCATGTCGGGTTTAAGTATACTATATTTAGAGTAAATTACGTTTTCTTGTCGTTGTGATTTGTGAAAATTTATGGATTTCGACCTCGTGGTTCTGAAATTATGGTTTTTGTCCCTATGGTTTGCAATTCATTGTTATTTTCATCCCTGAGCCAAACAATTACCTTTAAATATGGGGACTAAATCACTAAAATAGAAATGAATTGTAAACCACAATGAAGAAAATGGCAATAAATGTTAAATCATAAGAATGAAAACAACAATAAATTGTAAACCATAGGGATGAAAATCGTAATTCAAAACCACAAGGATGAAAATAGCAATTTCCAACAAACCATGGGAAGTAAAAACGTAATTTACTCTAATATTTATATACGACATACTCACACACACTCCTCAGTCCTCACCTTTGGTGTGAGATTGAACTCTTGATATCCTCAAAAACTGTGTGCTCTACCCGTAATCCGGATACCGCTTGGCCAATGACCCTCTGGTGATCATGCTAGGTACCTTTCTGGATACAGCAATCAAGGTAAGAAGGTATACTTGACAGCAGCACCCCAGTGTCCCTTCCCAGATGCATATATTGGAGTTGCACTTCAAACGGGCCTTTTCGACTATGTTTGGGTTCAGTTTTATAACAACCCTCCTTGCCAATACTCTGGAGGTGTTACCAATCTTGAAGATTCATGGAAGCAATGGACTTCTGACATACCAGCAACCAAGATTTTMTTGGGGCTACCTGCAGCACCTGCAGCTGCAGGAAGTGGATACATCCCTGTTGGTGATCTAACATCTCAAGTTCTTCCAGCAATCAAAGGTTCTGCAAAGTATGGAGGTGTTATGTTGTGGTCTAAATACTATGATGATCAGACTGGATATAGTTCTTCCATCAAAAGCCATGTGTAGAGTGTGAAGTCCATTTGTGTTGTGTTGATGATTGTAAAAGTCTGCTTGTATCATGATCTTATGTGATTATAATATTTGATTATTGAGCTATCTAATTTCCAATGCTATGATAATTTCTCATGCAACTATAATATTTGCCTAGTGCATAGAAGAGGTACAGAGACATTTATACAAAGAAATACATACTGATTCAGATGTCAAAATCAGAATATGAGTTAAGGTGAGAACTGAGAAGTGTAGGAAGGGATTTGGACCCTTAATCACTTTTAATCTCAAACCAACCCATGAATTGCACTTAGAAGGGAATTGATCCGGTATATCTCATTAGTGTTGATCTAATGTTTCTCTTCAATTAGAATTGATCCAAGGATGGAGATCCTTTCTTACCCTTCTCACCACAACTTCCATTCTCATCGGAACCCTACCCTACCGATTCATACATTTTTGTATATGAGAGCTTGATTTGATCCCAAWTGAATATTAGAAACAATAGAAACACACTTGAATGAATTAAACCGAATATAATCACATCAAAACTAATCAAATAGCCCATTTAAACATTCCAATTCATCATTCAACGAATCCCAATGTGAATTTACCCTAACATTGATACGATTAAAGGAATTCAAAATAATATATAGAATTATTCACTCGGTTTCAGTTAAAGCTCAATCCAGACAGTAATGGCGGGACATAAGAACTACCATTCATGTTCAGTTATCAACATAGAAGATATTCTCGATTTCAATCACAAAACATGAAGTTTAAACCATTAAAAAAATTGAGAACTCGCCGTTGGTATGTTGAATCGGAAAGAGTGCAAAACTGAACTGCTTCTGATGACTCTACGGTTGATTCGATCCCCAAATGTGTTTATCTGTGTCCCTTGTCTGTTGTTTACATTCAATTGAGATCAAATCAAGCTCTGGTATATAAACATGTATGAATAAGTGTGTATTTCTCTGTACAAATGTCTATATACCTCTTGTCCAAGAATCAAAATATTGATTCTCATCTGCGTGTTCTTCAAGAATCCGCATTCATCGATTTCAGATTTGCAGCATCAGTCTTCGATTTCGATGATAGCATAAATTCAAACTCCAACAACAACGCTTCTCAACATCTCCAGTGTAATCTCGTCAGCGGAGGTACCTTCCAAAACGTATGTTGTATGAATGTATAAATAACGCGGTTTGTTTATTATTTTGGAATCATTTTCTATGAGATTCTTCCCAAACCTTTTAAAGGAAAAATTGAATGAAAAGGTAATGAATTTTAATTTGATTTTGATTTTGGATAAGGTACTTATAAATCTTTTATTTTTGTATCTAAGATGTAAAGTTTTAAACATTTAAGTACTCGAATTACCGGTTAGATTAAAATATCTATGTCAGCAAATAATACTGAGTTGGATACCAGTATACCACATCACTCGTCACATCAGCATGGTAACCGGTTAATGCTTCAACCGGTTACTCGGGTACTTAAATGTTTAAAACTTTACATCTTAAGTACCAAAATGAAAGTTTTAAAAGTACGTTACCCAAAATATGAATCAAGTTAAAGTACATTATTTTTTCATGCAATTTACCCTTTAATATATGGCGAGATATCACGTAACAAGTAGAGTTAAAATAAGAAGCATGAAAAGGGATCTGGACATCACGGTGCATTTTCATCCTAACGTGCATTCTTTAGGACACAGATCATTAACCAAAGTGTGGTGCCTGATTATGGAGACAATTCGGATGGACGATATGGATTTCTTTGAGATGGTTAACCACTTTTTTAACTGTGAGAGGGGGGTCATTCAGAACCCGCTGGCTCCAGAACAGGGCCGCTCCAGAGGCTCTGCCGCAGGCGCCAGCACCGACTGAAGTTGCCCACCCCGCTCCCGATCAAAAAGAACGTGCATTGGTTTAAACTTGGGCTCCAAAGGTCAAAAGTGTCTGGAGGTCCCAGGTTCACATTCAACGAGGAACAAAAATCCCTTTTGTGGCCACAAAGGTTCAAATGCGGTGACTCCGGACTATCCGCAAAGCAAGTGGTCGTCCTAAGATTAGTCGGCTCACATAACAAGTTGGGTATCTTTCTCATTGGAACCCAAGTTATAGTTTTTTTACAAAATGCTATTTAAGTTAAGAACCCTATATATTGGTACCATGAGATTCTCTAAAATCTCTTTAAAAGTTTTAAAGCATTTTAAAAAACATCAACATCGATTATATTATTAAAATATTTTATCATCATGATATATTTTATTAAAGAACTTCATATAAAAAACTAACAAGCCAATCTAAGTAAGGTTGCGTTTGGTACATGGGACGGGATAGGACATGATGGGACAAAACTCATTGTCTCATATTTGACACGACATGGAACATGACAAGAACTCGTTGTCCCATGTTTCTTGCGACATAAGACAAGAACAGAGACAAGGTGGTCCACCAAAATAAATGGAACAAGATGACACAATAATGAGATAAAAACTAAAATATTACTAATATATCATTATTTGACATATAATATTAATATGATATTTGTTTTAGTGGTCATCACTGGTAGTCTTGGTTGTCGCTACCACAGGTGGGCACCGACGGCCATCTCCACCTTTTTTTCCAATACAATAACCTCCTCTACCACCTTCACAACCACTGTGGGCCACCTACCATCACTTGCATTCGTGGACCACCTCATCTTCACCATGACCACCACCAACGCCACCATATGCCACCAAGACCATTGCCAACCACCACTACAACGACTACAACTACCTTCTTCACCATTGTCGACCACCACCACTACTATCTATCCGTGAAGGTTACCTTCACAATGTTTCACTATAAAGTTTCAAGTGTAAAAAACTGGTCTCTTGGGTCTCGTAAAAACAGACTCGTCTCACAAGATATCAAGTCGAGAGAGAGTTGGGACATGAAAATAGAGAATGATGATTTATTTTTTCTTTTTCATTGTACATATTAAGGGATTTTGCAAGGAATCTTGGAGTTTAATGTAATATTTTTAAAATATTTTAACTTTTATTTCTTTATATTAAAGAAATTTTATAAAATATGATTTTATAAAATAGATAAAATGAAAATTTTGTTTTCTATTTTGTCCCAATATAATCTTTATATTTTATAAAATAAAGAAAACTCCAACAAAAATTATTTAATGAGTTGTTTGTTTACCTCTTAATAGTTTTATTAAAAGGTAACATTTGAATCATTAAGAGGTGAATCTTGTTTGAYAAAAAAAAAAATCTAGCTCTTAATTGTTCTAAAATCATCTGAATGGTTTTACATCATGTGTATCCCTTAACTATTCAACACCCTAATTTTATTTTAAATAATTATCAAACAATTATATTTCATCTTCAATTATATCATAAGAGTCTCTTAATCATTCTGACCACTTAATCATTCTGCAACTAACAAACAACCCCTTAGACTTGATGTGACGAGGGATAAATGATTTTTTTTTCATTTTCATTGAAATTAAATTATTAATTATTGTATTTAAAGTTTTTTAAAAAGTAAATTGGAATTATAAAATTAGAGTGTACTTAAATGTTTACAACTTTACATCTTAGGTACTAAAATGTAAGTTTTGAAAATATGTTACTTAAAATAGGAATCAAGTTAAAGTACATTACTTTTTCATGCAATTTACCATTTTAATAATATTAATGTCGAGATCTCTAAAATATAGAATCTTTTGGAGTTGAATGTAATTATTTTTAAAAATTTGAACTTTTATTTCTTTATTTTTACAAAATTATAGAAAATATGTTGGAGATACTCTAATATAATCAAATATATGTATTAAAAGGAAAAAAAATATTAGAAAATCTCCAACAGATTATCCAAAACAAAGATTTTCAAACAAATTTTCTATGGCTTTTTTCAAAATAAAGAAAGAGTGAAATAATTGGAAAACTACTGAAAAAATAATTACCGTGAGAGAAAAATAATTTTTTTTATTATATCCTCAAATAAAAAATCTTGATGTTAAATGTTTAACAGAGAAAAATAATATTTTATTACATATATAAAATATTTTAATAATCGAGTGAATTACATCGGTGGTCCTTATGGTTTTTCTAAATTTTGGATTTGGTCTCTAAAACAAACTATMTACACTGATAATCCCTAATTTTTCAATTTCATAACACTTAGAACATAACACCGCCAACCAGCACCCATTATGAGGGGCTAATCAATGTAATTAGTATTGTAATCTTACAAATAAAAAATGGGCAAATTACATGAAAAAGTAACATACTTTAACTTGATTYATATTTTAGTTAACATACTTTCGAAACTTTCATTTTGGTGCCTAAGAAGTAAAGTTTTAAATATTTAAGTACCCGGATAACTGGTTGAAAYATTAAYCAGTTATCATGTTGATGTGAYGAGTGATGTGGTATCCAGCTCAGTATTATTTGCTGAYATAGTTAGTGACATGAATTTTTTTTAGTTAAAATTAGTCTTCAACCGATTACTCGGATACTTAAATGTTAAAAGCTTTACATTTTAAGTACAAAAATARAARTTTTAGAAGTATSCTACTYAAAATARAAATCAAATTAAAATACATTACTTTTTCATAYAATTTATTCATAGAAAATCAGATACATGTGTAATAATTATAGAAATTTTGAGTTTTAATTATCTATTTTAGGAATTTTTAAAGAATCTTTTAGAGATCTACTTATTTCCCTTTTTTGGCCGTTGGGATTGCAATATTTTTCGACCGTTGGGTGATGGATATGAATCATATTTCTTCGTGTTTGTTTCCTTTATTGCTTTCTTTTCTCAAAACACTCTTCGACGCTCCTCCTTGTGCTATCGATTGTGAATTATGCCGTTGCCTTACCAGATTCTATTTAATATCATCACTATTAACAGTCACCTTCTTCAATTCATCTAGAGAGAGAAAGTGTGAGAGAGAGAGAGAGAGGAGGGAGAGCCATTAACGATCTGCTTCTGTTCTTAAGGTAACATGCCTCACTTCTCATCTCTGATTTTGCATTTTTGATCGATCGTGTTGCAGGTTTCGTTTAAAATTGCTAGTTAGGGTTTCGTTTTAGATCCTAATTAGTAAATCTTTCAATGATTAGATTCTACTAGTTAGGGTTTGTTTAGGGTTACTGATTTTGAAAATTGGGATGATGAAGGTGAAGAAGAAATGGAGGGGAAGAAAAGCAAGTTATCAGCACACTGGTGGTGGTTGGATAGTCAGAGCAACAGTATCCCAAGGAAATCTCCATGGCTACATTCCACTCTTGCAGGTATTGTATCTGCTTTAATTATGGAAAGAAAATTAAGTTAGKGTTTCTATTAAATTAATGGACATATCCATAAACATATGTTGTTCTTAATGGTTTAATTTATACCATGTTTAGAAGAATTTATTGCAATATGCTAATCCTTACACAGAAGATCCTTTTTTTTATTTTATTTTTGGCTGAAAACCAATCCTACGCATATGCGCTAAGTTTTCTGTGTAAGGATTGATTATAAAGTGAAATTGGGTACTAAAATGGCTATAAAGTGAATTGATTTGGGCAGTAGAAATTGAAAAAATAGCCAAGACCCAATTTCACTTTATAGCTGATCCGTATGCAGAAAGCTTACGCATATCGCTTTCTGCATAAGGATTGGTTTCGGGCCAAAAAAAATTAAGAATCCTTATGTAGAATATATGCATAAGGATTTTTTTTTTTTCGGGCGAAAAACAATCCTTACGCTAAACCTTCTGCGTAAGAATTAGCTATAAAGTGAATTGATTTGGGTAGACGGACTATTTATGTAAATTTCCCTACAWACTTATTTAAGGTATGATCATTAATAAAGCTAAACCAATGTGATATCTAGATGTTAAGGCATTTTCTTTCTAAATGCAAGCTTAGATTTATAAGTACTAATCCAATTATATTAGAAACATAAATGTTGGTGATGTTAGTGAAATCATCGGTCTATTTTATGTAATTAGATTGTCGCTAGTTAAACCGTCACAGGCTAGGAGGTGTAGAGTGCACACTCGTGTAAGCTAACTAGAACCTGGGATCATTGATGGCATCATATAGGGGTCAAGAGGGTTGTGCGCCCCCTTGCGGGGTTTTAGAGGCGCTTCCTGGTGGGCATTTTACACTAAAATTTTTGCATCATCTGGTGAAACTACCCACTGATGCGCTATCAGTGGATGGTTTCCCATTGATTGGTTATCAGCTAATGGTCGGTAATTAGGCGATGGTTTCCCACCGACGGGTTATCACTGATGGGTCATCGGCTGATGGTATGGATTATTAGCTGATATACATTAGTCCTGTAAGTGCTCTATTTTCATAACCGCCCATTACTTGTTTCCAACAATCATTTTTATTTAATAAGAAGTTATTCTAGCCTTTAATATAGGATCGATTACGATTTCTGCCAAAATCGRTAAGCAAGTTTGAGATTATCCTCGAGTTGGATCGAAATTATAACTTATGAAATCGAGCTCTCACACGATCTCAAGTTTTCTCTGTTTTCACAAATTTCCCAACTCAAAATAAGAGGTATATATATATATATATATATATGATATCTAGCACCAAAAGACTAAGGGGATGTTTGGTTGGTTTTCATTAAGTCCTATATGGATAAAGTTGTCTGTGTGGATTAGTTTATCTGTATAAATTGAAAAGTTTTTTGTTTGGGATGAGTTTTTCATGGATGGAATGAGCATTTTTTTAATTGGGAAGGGCATGTTTGGAAAAAACTTGACTTTCTGCATAAAACTTCCCCCCTAGAAGCTTACTATAGGCCCACTTTCTAYATCATCAAGCCACTACAAAGCAGTTATAAGTAACCGAATAAGCTGTTAGTCCCATTAAGCTCATTAAGCTGCTAACAAACAGGCCCTTAGTGATTACAAGAGGTATCTATGATGTCTAGCACAAAAAGCCTTCAGTTCAGCCTTCCATTACTTCATATCAAACGCTACATAACATCTTATATATAGTAATCTTAACATATATAATTCGGTTCAGCCAAAATGGCTGATTTCTTGCTTCAAGTTAATAACTGAACTTGCATGGCTTGGTTTCAAAAATTTCAAACCAACCAGCCAATTAGATGATTCCCAAGYCGGTTTCTCGCTTCAAGCTGAATCCTGTTTTCTACATATAGGAATTATGATGAGTTCGATGATAATATAAGATTTGCTTCTTTTTCTATGGCATTCATATCCTGTTTTCTAAATGTTAAAGTACGAAAAGTCTGAATCTTGAACTGTGATCCAATAGAGCTGGATGATAAAACGGAGGCAATGCTTAAACTGATYGAGGAAGATGCTGATTCTTTCGCAAAGCGTGCAGAGATGTATTACAAAAAACGACCMGAGCTTATTACCATCGTTGAAGATCTCTATCGAGCCCATCGCTCACTAGCTGAAAAATATGATCAAGTCAAGTTTGATGCGGGTACCCGCCACATAACTCCATGGACATCATGTCCGTTACCCTTGTCCAAATACCGAACATCCCAATTAATAAAAGAATCAGAGAAATCATACGACAGTTATTCCGAGTCTTTCGACTTTGACCATGATTCTGATTCGGTTGTATCCGAAATCGATGATCCTCAACAAGAAGAAATCGAAGATTTGAAGAATTCAGATGAAGAAGAAGAAGAAGTAGTGAAGCTGAGGGAAGAAATAGATAGGCTGAGACAAGAGAATAAGGTTCAGAAGGAGCAGCTGATTCAAAAAGACGAAGAGAAAAGAGAAGCAATAAGACAGCTTAGTTTTTCTCTGGATTTGCTTAAGCAAGAAAATGTAGATCTCAAAAGGGGTATTTTGGGAAAAGCAAAAGATTCTTTCAACAACAAAGCCAGCACCAACCCCTTTGAATTCAACAAATTGAAAGGGGTATTTTGGGGAAAGCTATTCAGTTCAGCTGCTGTTCCTCTATAGAACAAATTCAGCAGTACCCCCTAAATATTCCTTTCAMTCTCAGGTACATTTTTCCATGTTCTTCATATTCTTTGTCCCCAAAAATTAGTTCAYTTCACAAAATTTTCTTTTTCCCAAAGGTGTTTTTTCAATATTTTGACAATATTACAAAGCTACCCTCCATTTTCTTTAGATAAAAGTAGTCATTTTGTTRATTTATTTCAAAAAAGATAGTAAATTTGTTCAAACAGTTGTGAAGTGGAATCGTTTTTTGGGATGGTATTCGTGTTTGGTCGTTATGGGTCTTCGTTAAATTGTTCGTAATTGTGTACTTAATTAGTCATTCTTTGTGTACTTCATGTTCAATCTTAATGAGTTAATCTTTGTGTACTGTTAAGTAATGCTAGAAATGCTTCAAATTCTATAATGGTTATGAGTGATTCTGTATTTTAGAATGTAGATCTCTCTATAAAGCCAAGATTTTGTTATCTGTTGGTGACTTTAGTGAAATCATCAGTCCAAGATTTTGTGTACCGTAAGCCAAGATTTTGTTATCTGTTGRWGACTTTAGTGAAATCATCGGTCCATTTTATGTATTGGATTCTGGATTCACAAGAGAATATGAGGGTTTTCTGGATTCATACTAGATGTGGAGTGCACACTCGTATAAGCTAACTAGAACTCAGGATCTTTGGATGGCGCCTGTTGCAGGGTCCAAAGTTCTTGGGAAAATTGAGCTTCTGATTGTTCTAAGCGAAATACAAAAGTCTCTCAATTCCCTTCAGAAGCCTTATTAGGGTCTTGTTCACAAGCTACTGATTCTTAAGTGGTTTTATCTGAAGCTCTGACGTATTCTGATCCGTGTAAGCAATAATTACTCTAGTAATCATTTCCATTTATGGGGAGATGTTTTTAGCATTTAGTTTAGGAACTATTACGATTCTCTAAGTTTAATCGTTATTGAGATTTGTGATTATCCTCATGTCGATTTCGTAATGCCAGACAAATTAGGGTCGAAATACAACTTAAAGAGAGCGGATTCTCACACGATAACAAGTTTATCTGTATTTTCTGAAATTCCTTCAAGAAATCTAATTCTTTAGAGATGGTTTGATCCACTTTCCTATTTGAAAATGACAAAGAAACAAGCACTAAAAGAGATCAATGATCAATGATCACTTGATGATGGTTTTGAACTTGTAGTGCAGAAAAGTAGAAAACAACTACAAAAAATAGAAATAAATAATGGTTTTCTGGAAATAATGCTTCAATGATTAACACAACCATCAWGCTTTTTTCTTAGCTTAGTTCTAACATCTCAGATCAACCGTACCAGATATTGTCTGTTTTAAAAAAAGTAAAAGAAGGCATCCAATGGATGAGGTATCGAGTCCCTTATAAGGCAATCTTTGTTCTCTTCTCCAACCAATGTGGGATCTTAGAATCCACCCCTTGGGAGCCCAGCGTCCTCGCTGGTACGCCAGTCCTGAACCTAGCTCTGACATTATCTGTAACATCTCAAGCCAATCGTATCGAATATTATCTGYTTTATCCATACACCTGGACTCACGGTTTTAAATGCTTTCAACCAATGTGAGATCTTACTTAAAGTCCCAAAAAGGGATTAAAGAAAAGAAAGAAAGAAAGAGAGTGCTGAAAAGGCATGGCTTTATTTACTTTTGAATATACTTAAAAAGATGACAAATCTTATCACATGAAACCAGCAAAGCAACATGACCTCAACCAATAATAATATTACAGTAAATTTACTATATACTCCTTGGAAAAGCAAAGGAAAAGTGATAATAATCTACAAAAGAAAAAAATCAAGTGAAAAAAAGACAAATTATTGTTGCCCCTCCACTCCACTCCACCACCCATTGATTCCCATCCCATCCACAACCAAACAAAGAAGTACCTTAAATCACCTCTGAAATGTCCAAAATGCCCATGATTCAGARAAAAAGCTCCAAACAGAACAGTAGCTTTAGCTGAATGACACCCACAAATGAAAAGCTGAAAAATGCCCACTGCCATGATTCATAGAAACTCCAAAGAGAACCAGTGTAGTAGTGTAGCTTTAGAGAGAGTGAAATGACAAGAACACCCTCAAATGGGAAGGTGAGATGACCAAAATGCCATCAAGGAACCAGCCACCATTGTGATGACCAGTGAAGTGGCAGGATTCCAAGAAACAGAGGATGAAGCAGGGAGGGAGGCAGTTGGTGAGATGGACATGGTGTTGGGACCATAAGTGGCCATGTCATCAGGGTTAGGTGGGCTAGGGCTAGATGGGATGGTGGGCAGTGAAGATTCAGTAGGTGAAAGCTGGGTTCCACTGGGTGAGGAAGGAAAGAGTGGGGTGATGTCAGGAGATGAAGCAGGAGAAGGAGAAGCCATTGGTGATGATGGTGTGATGATTGGAAGCAATGCAGGAGCTGCTGAGATGCTGCTATCAGATGGGAGTGTTTGTGCAAATGATGATGAGAATTGGAAAGAAAAGAACAGGAGGCAAAAGGCCATATGAATTGATGATGCCATTAAATGATGAGTGAATTCAAGAATCAAGAATCAATAATCAAGAAAGTGTGTGTGTGTGTGTAATTAATGTGTGTGTGTTTTGGGGGAGAGAGAGAGAGAGAATGTGTGTGGAAGTAGGAAAAGAGAAGGGTGATGAGAAGGGGTTATGTAATGAATGTTGGAATGATTGATTGATCAAAGGAATCATATGGGATTGGAATGTGGGGGGTGTGTGTAAATCCCAACAAAAGTAACATGTTTTATGTCTTTCTCCCTCTTCTCTCTCTCTCTCTCTCTCTCTCAATAATATATATGCTGATTTTCAAATAAATATAATGATATTAAGATAAATTGTATGAAAAAGTAATGTATTTTAATTTGATTTTTTATTTTGGGTGACGTATTTTTAGAACTTTCATTTTGGTATCTAAAATGTAAAGTTTTAAATATTTAAGTGATCGGGTAATGATTGAAGTATTAACCGGTTACCATGGTGATGTGGTATTCGATTAATGTTTCAGCATACCACATCAACATGGTAACCAGTTAATGCTTCAATCAGTTAACCGGGTAYTTAAATGTTTAAAACTTTATATATTAGGTATCAAAATGGAAGTTTTGAAAGTATGTTCCCCAAAATAAGAATCAAGTTAAAATACGATATTTTTTCATGTAATTTGCCCATAATTTTATGTTCCAAAATATACCTTTTTCTCCAACTAAATGAATTTTATATAGGAAAATTCATTTTAATCTTTATTTTCTTCTTTTAGGGAAAACAAAACAAATCCTTATGTATTTGTGTACGGATTTTTTACGCAAAATTTTGAATCCTTGCATAAAAATAATAATATGCAAATCAAGTATACRCAAAGGCGTAAGACATTTGTGTAAACTCTGACAAAAATGATAATACAATTGAAAAAGTGGCTAAAAAGTGAAGTTGGTTGRGGAGATRGGCTATTTTGGTCAATTTACCCCTTATATATGGGTCTAGAGAGCGCTTAAGGTGCGTTTGGTACACATACAGGATTAAAAGGCTAAAAGTAAGATAGGAGGATGAAATAACAGTACAAAATTTTAARGTTTTAATTTGATTTGGATAGCTAAGAATTTACCAAATTTGTTTTATTTCCTTGATTTTTATTCAATCTATTTTGGTGGGAATGCGTTTTTTCCTAGATAGTCATGTTTTGTCCTAGTCCAAATGTCGYACAAAACGTGGGACAATAAGTTTTTTTCTTTYATGTCTCACGTAATGAACGCGACTTTGGATCATGTGTGACCAGGTTTGTTTTCGTGAGACCACATAAATAGCACTGCACCTCCATAACGGAACTCTGTGAAAGTAAACTTTTACAGTGTTTTGCTGTGAAATCTCAATGTTTTTTTTCGTCAGGGACGGACCCAGTTAAGGGCACATGGTGGAACATGCCACCGGTAAATCCGTCTGTCGTAAAGTAAAAAAAAAATTAGCATCATGAAAGATGTAACTKTATTGTTTTAGAAGGTGGAACCGTTTTATATGGTGTCACCGTATGAAAAAATTTATGGGTCCGTCCCTGTTTTTTTTACCTTCACAATATTTTGTTGTGAAATATTAATGTTATTTTATAAGAAAAACACGTGAACCTAACCCTAGMGAACTCATCGTTACACAGTAGAACAAAGATGAAACAAAATAAGAGTTATTATTTTCATGGGACACAAAATAAAACAAAACAAAATACATTTCARTATTTTAAAGATCTTTTTGGAGCAATTAGGCAAGAGGCCCCATCCAACAACTATTTTTCTACCTTTGTAAATTTTCAATATGAAAGGAAAGAAGTTGAACAAATCAAACAATGGTAGTTATCCATCTATATATATAGAGAGAATTGGAACCACGTGACATCAATTTGTTTTCGTGAGATCCGTGAGACTACTTTTTTATACTTGAATCTTCATAGTAAATCACCGTGAAGATAACATTCACGGTGTTTTTGTTGTGAAGTTTCGAAAAAAAATTACCGTCACCATGAATTGTTGTGAAGTTTCAAGTGTAAAAATGTGGTCTCTCGTGTCTCACAAAGCAGGCTGGTCTCACGTGAACCTAACCACATATACATACATATATATATATATATATATATATATATAGAGAGAGAGAGAGAGAGAAGTGGGTTATTATACAATCATTTACATTTGTACAACCAATACAACATAATCTCAACCGTCCATTTAATTTGATGAATATGTAATTTCATAGAAGTTTTAATTGTTTTCTAATATAAGTATTGATCATAATTAATGACCCTTATTCATCTTCAATAAATATTTAAATCATAATAAATAAACTCTCATCATTTCCATAAATATTTCCATTTATTGGTTGCATTGGTTGTACAAATGTGATAGGTTGCATTTGAAACAAACTCTCTCTCTCTCTCTCTATATATATATATATATACACCCTATATATATATATATATATATATATACTCTATATATATATAGAGAGAGGGGGGGAGGTTCAGCAGAAAACTTTCAAAAAGTTAAAAATTGAGAAACGCATTCATTTGTACAGTATTACATGTGCATACAAGTAATGGAAGTTGTTTCTTGATTTTTATAACATACAAATTACTTGTATGCATATGTACATATTATCCATATTAACGGTTACTAGGGTATAACTCGATTTTTCATTTTCTTACGATTTTCTCCTGAATCTGACTACATATATATACTTATACTTACTTTTGTTGTAGATTTTATTGTTTGCACATTAACAAACACCAAGACAAAACGATAACGGTTTTCGTTTACAAATTTACTTTATTTTTATTTATTATTATTAAAAAGTATTTTAAATATTTGATTAATTGTTGTGTTAAAAACAATAAGAAGACTACGTTATTGACAATGAATTATTTCAAAAGATTCAAGTGGACAGTATGTAAATGTGATTGGATATGATTCGAAGAGAATGCGGTACGTGTGAAATAAATTACATAWAATTTTAGGGTTTTAATTTGATTGGAAGACAATGAGGTATGTATCATTAATGTTGCCTCATTTTCTTGATTTTTGTTCCAATTATTTTAGTGGAACAGAAAACATGCATTTTTCCCAGGTTATATCATGTCTTAGTCTGCTGTAACGACAAACATGAAGCAAAGTTTTTATACTGTTATACCCCGTGCTAATTTTTGTACCAAAAAACAGACCTTATTTTCAACGTTCTGATTTGACGTACAACAATGCAGATAGCAACACCTTTTTAATATTTATTAGTAAAGCATGAGATGGTTTGGTTGGTTTTCCATTAAGTCGTGTATGGATAAAGTTGTCTGTATGGATTAATTTGTCCATATAGATTCTGAAGGTTTTGCTTGAGAGAGCTTTTTCATAGATGGAAAAAGTATGTTCTATAATTATGAATAACAGGTTTGGAAAAAGTTTGGTTTTGTGCATAAGGGTCTCCTCTAAAAGCTTACTGAAGAAACCATTTGCTATATCATCAAGTCGTTACTAAACAGTCATGTATAACTGACTGAATAAGCTACAAGTTCCATTAAACTCATTAAGCTACTAACAAGTATACCATAATTTTAGTTTTGGAGAAATTGACCAAAGTAGTCAATCCCATCAACCAAATTCACTTTTTAAAGCTTGTTTTCAAAATAGCCAAAGTTTACATAAAAATTTGATTTTTGAAAATAAAATAAAGGAAAAAACACATAAATTTGAATCTTTACACAAAAAAGGGCTGTGTAAGGTTGGTTTTTGAAATCCCTTTTTTTTTTTTTGCTGAAAAAGGATCCTATGTAAACTATAACTATTTAGAGAAGTAGATTCTTGATAAGGCGGAGCTATTTGGCAATTGCTGAATTGTTTGGTGCAGAATGATTAAGTAGTCAGAATAATTAAGAGACTCTCGTGATATAGTGCAAAATAAAACATAAATGTTTGGTAATTATTTACAATGAAATTAAAGTGGAGAATGGTTAAAGTATGCTCAAGATACAAAATCATTCAGAAAGTTTTAAAACTAATAAGAAACAGACTTTTTTTACGAAACAAGATTTACCTTTTAACAATTTAGATGTAGTCCGTTAATAGAGGTAGCATGTACTATTTTATGAATTTCGGTTGGTTTTGGTGGGGTGGGGGAGAAAAATGTGTTGGGTTAGGTTAAGTAATGTGAAAAAGAATAGAGGCCTACAGGGTGTCAAATAGCAAGTGGGTTAGGAAAGGGACAAGATTGGCTCCTGTTGAATCATGTGGACGACTCTTGTCTTCTTTCTTATTACTAATAACACAAATTCAAAAATAAAATTCCAAATAAAATGGTAAATTGTATGAAAAAGTAACGTACTTTTATCATGATTCCTATTTTGGATAACGTACTCTTAAATTTTTCATTTTTTTATATAAGATGTAAGGTTTTAAACATTTAAATACCCGGATAATTTGGTGAAATATTAACCGGTTATCATGTTGATGTAGCGAATGATGTGATATCCAACTCAGTATTATTTATTGACATGGTTAATGACATTGATTTTTATAATCTAAAATTAATGTTTAACAGGTTATCTTAATACTTAAATGTTTAAAACTTTATATCTTAAATATCAAAATTACGATATATATATCTCCAAATAAAATTCCGTGAGTTATGGGGTCCTCATGAATTACTAGATTGTTTATTAATTAATTAAAACAATATTTTAATGTCTGTCTGGTCCAGGGTGGATTTCAGAAACCAAATATGCTACTACTGCTATCATTTTCAAATACATGCCTATAAAAATGGGTTTTTTTTAGCAAAGGATATTTATTCGTTTTTTAGGAGGTTAAAGATTTAAACTTTATCAAATATAAAGAGAGTGTGTAAGTTTATTTGTTRTATTTGTTATATATAAATATTATATATTTAAAAAAAACTTTTTTTATTATTTTAATATTTTATAGAAAATTATTTTTAACACCGAAGCTTAGGTTATTTGAAGATTATTAAGTTAAAGAAATAAGAATTATACACCTGATCAAAAACTCTTTTTTAATTATGGGCTTAGAAAAATAAAATTATGTTAACAGTTTAGTGAGATTAATGAAACTACCAGGTATATATATTTATTTGATAGTGGTTTAATGATATAGAAAATGACTTTATTTAATGAACTTTTTTTATTAACCTGGATATCCAACCCGTTATGCGAGTCGACTAATTCCAGGACGACCACCTGCTTTGCAGATAGCCCGGAGTCACCGCATTTGAACCTCCGTGGCCACAAGRGGATTTTTGTTTTTCCTTGGATTTGAACCTGGGACCTCCAGGTACTTTTAAYMTTTGGAGTCAAGCTCAAACCAATCAKGCAYCACTCTTGTGGTTAAKAAGAGCTTTATGGAGAAAGTCAAACTATAATTATTTAGTTAATGAAAAACCTTTATTCATACAGTTCCTTAATCACTTTGATAAGAATAAACGATAAGGAAACTGTATTAGAATAAAATGTAATTTGCTTCAATTTATATTTTGTATAACTACTTTGCAAATCGTTAA